TCCAATCTTCTACCTCCTCGATCTCTGCCACCTCGACTTCAGCCGCGCTCCTCTCCATATGAAGTAGGGTCGCGCTCCTACTCTTACAATCGACCAAGTTCTGCGCGATTTTAGACAGCAAATCAGCTCGACCATTCTCCCCTCGAGGTATCTGTATTAACTCGAATGTCCCAAATTCTTCCTTTAACTTCTTCATGTTGTCCACATGACGCTGCAGTCGTTCCTCCTTGATCTCGAAACCTTCTTGGAATTGACCGACCACTAATTGAGAGTCGGAATGGACCTGGATTTTTCGAGCACCTCCGGCCAGAGCCAATTGTAATCCCTTTGTCACTGCTTCATACTCCGCCTCGTTGTTTGATACTCGAAATCCCATTTTGACGGCAAATTCTAAGTAATCTCCCTTGGGCGAAATCAAGACTATTCCTAAGCCAGCCCCACTCCTCGACACCGAGCCATCCGCGAACAACTGCCACATTCCTTCGTCATCTTCCTCCTCCTTCGTACCTTCCTGTATGAAATCAGCCAAAACCTGCGCTTTGATCGCCCTTCTTGGTTCATATATTATAGAGTATTCGCTCAGCTCGACCGCCCACTTTACTAGCCGGCCAGATACTGCTGGTCGACCTAAAGTCTGCTCCAATGGCATGTTTGTGCGCACCTTGACCTTGTGGTTTAGGAAGTATGGCCTCAGCTTTCGGACTGTCACGACCACCGCCAATGCACACTTCTCGATCCGAGTATCTCAACTCTGCTCCTTGCATTACTCGACTAACATAGTATATTGGGAATTGCGCCACTCCCTCTTCCCGCAATAATACTGAGCTTACTGCACTCTCGCCCACCGATATGTAGAGCACAAGTTCCTCTCCGTGAATTGGCTTGGCCAGTAAGGGCAAGTTAGCCAGCGTCCCCTGCAGCTCCTCGAAGGCCTTCTGGGCTTCCTCTGTCCATTGAAACTTCGAGCTCTTCTTCAGGGTTTTGAACAGAGGGCTACTTTTTTTAGCCACCTTGGAAATGAATCGGCTTAGCCCTGCTATTCGACCAGTTAGTATTTGGACTTCCTTCACATTGGCCGGTGGCTTCATTTCGATCACAGCTCTTACTTTCTCGGGATTCACCTCTATGCCTCGCTTTGTTACCATGTATCCCAAGAACTTCCCTGCCTTTACACCAAACGAGCACTTAGCTGGGTTGAGCTTCATGCCGAACCTCCTCAGTGTTTGGAAAGTCTCCCTCAGGTCGCCCATGTGGTCCACCTCCACCTTACTCTTTACCAGCATGTCATCGACATACATCTCCATATTCCTCCCCAACTGGTCTTTGAAAATTTGGTCGACCAACCGCTGGTAAGTGGCCCCGACATTTTTTAATCCAAACGGCATGACTACATAACAATAGGTGCCTTTGCTTGTTATGAAGCTCACTCTCTTCCAGTCTTCTTTCGCCAAGGGGATCTGATGATACCCCTACGAGGCGTCCATCAGGCTAAGCAACTCGCACCCCGCCGTGGAGTCTACCAGCTGGTCGATCCTTGGCAGCGGGTATAGATCTTTCGGGCAAGCCTTGTTTAGATCACGGAAATCGATGCACATCCTCCACTTTCCTCCCAGTTTGGACACCATCACCGTGTTAGATAACCACTCAGGTAACTGAATCTTCTTAATGTGCCCAGCGTTCATCAGCTTGTCGACCTCCTGCTCAATGATTTTGTCCATTTCCGCACCATGATGTCTCCTCTTTTGCTTTACCGGCCTCACACTGAGATCAATATTAAGTCTGTGCTCGATCACCCTGGCCTCGATCCCCGTTAGTTCATCTGTTGTATACGCGAAAATGTCCGTAAATTCCCTTATTAAATTGATCAGCTTCGACCTGATTGGCTCTCCCAAATCTTTTCCAATCCTGAATTTTCGGTCATCGCATCCCTGCACCATTTGAATTTCCTCAATCTCTTCTCCGGGCTGTATGTCTATCTTCTCCTTTCCCTTGTCTTATCCTCCTCTCTCCTCTTTTGCTCGTGATCCTCCTGGTCGATCAGGCCTCACTTCCTTGCCTTTCAACTGCCTTTCTGCCATCTGTCTGTTGTTACTGACTGTGGTTTGATAGCAACTCCTCGACGTGAGCTGTGTTGGAACCCACGAGGATCTCGATATGCACAAATCACGGACAAACATTCAAC